GCGTTCGTTAGGCTGCGTTTATACTTTGCGGCAGCGTAGCGTAGCGCTTCCAGCGTACGCCAGCGGCAGTGCCGGGGAAAGGATAGATATCGATCTAGCTTCACCAGCGTCACCAGCGTACGCTAGCGGCACGCCAGCGTGCGCTAGCGTGCCGCTAGCGCACGCTGGCGTAGCGAGGGCACGGGAAGCATAGCTATCGATCTAGCTTCACCAGCGTTTCTCGAGCGTTTCTCCAGCGGCACCAGCGTTTTGCTAGCGCTTGCAGCGGCAGGGAGTAGAGACTATGTGGCCGTGAGAGACGCGGAATCGATGTGTATAGTAGAGACTATGTGGCCGTCAGAGACGCGGAATCGATGTGTATAGTAGAGACTATGTGGCCGTCGGAGACGCAGAAGCGATGTGTATTGTAGAGACTAAGGGCGAGTGAGAGACGCGCAATCGATGTGTTTTGTACCCTCCAGCTCTCCCATAGTCTCTACTCCCCTGCCGCTGCAAACGCTAGCAAAACGCTGGTGAAACGCTGGAGAAACGCTGGCGTACGCTAGCGTGACGCTGGTGACGCTGGGAACGCTAGATCGATATGCATCCTCTCCCCGGCACTGCCGCTGGCGTACGCTGGAAGCGCTACGCTACGCTGCCGCAAAGTATAAACGCAGCCTTAGCCCTCAGCCGTCCCTCTAAATGGTCCATCCGACTTGAGACGCGGTTGAACACAAAACCATACATATTGTCAGAAAGCACGTCTCGCCTAGAAGCAAACTAAGGCGCACAATGACTGTTTTCAAAACACAACTTTATTGAATACGGGGGAATAAGGACAACCGGTCAATTACAATGTTTCTTTCTTATTCGCTGGAACTTATTTCTATTTATAAATCAATCAATTATTTCCCGTTCGGAAGCGATTTCAGAAATATGTCTGATGAACTGCTTACATCGTTCTTCTCGTTGGACGTCATTCATATGAATTGCCACTAGTTTCGCTTCACTGAAAGATAGCCGTCGAGAGAGTTGTACATACAGGGTGATGGTAATGCGCTGAGTGAGGAAGTTAAAAGGGACACTTGTATCCATGGCGGCGCTGCACCAAAACTCGACAGCTGCTAGTTGGAGAGGGCACTGCGTCAGAATATAGGGCGGTGTCTTTTTGTGCCTGCGATGGGCCGCAAGGTGCAATTTTTCGCACTTGCAAGCACTTGCACTCCATGCCCGATGTGTTGCTGCTAGTTTCCAAGGGGACTCCCTCAATCGCTTACGGCCCTGAGGGCTGAGATTATGTTGGTTTTCAGTCTCCCAACCGCCCAGCGTCAAGTCCTGTCACAACTCAGCATTTTTGCGAATTTTTGCAAAGACGCGACTATACAACTTTTATCTGCCTCGTCAAGCAGCCGGTCCCACAACAAAAATCACTTTGATTCGGTAACTTACCACTTGTACAGCTGATTGCTTTGTTCATACTGCCTGACAAAACTAGCATATTCCGTTGCCAATGTTCTGTTATGCGCACGATTACATCTGCCTTTAGCTCCAACTAAATCGACGAGCAGCTTTCAGTCGCTGTAAAAGAAACTTTTTATGATTTAGTGTAGCATTTCAAAATTTCTCCCTTCTTGTCCCAAATCGAGGACGATAAAGCTGGCTTGCTACTGCGAGCCAATTAAACCCACTCACAGAGTCGCTATGTGGGATATATATATTTTTTTTTGGAGGTGAGTGCTACGGTAGTGGCTATTCACGGAGGCTTTGTCTATCTATTCACTTCAATTTTCTTACCCAGTAGTGGAAGACAATCGCTTCATCGTAGTTTCCAAGGAGGTGTAAAACGTTTCCTATACACCCATATATGATTCCACATCTTTCACAGTCTCCGAGTTTCTTGGTAATCAGGACACTTCTACTAAAAAAGTGAAGGATATTTGCAAACATGTGGTAGGAGATGAAAAGTAACGAAAAAGCAGACCAGTCATGATGCTAATGCCAATATTGAGCGGTTAAGCCATGACAAGCCCATCAGTACCGCACTCCTGAAGAGGCGACACATTCGATCTTCTTGAATGAATTGAGCCAACAAAAACTTAAAGAACATACGCTGTAATTGTACTCACTATACAGTTGTCTTCACTTGCCAGACGCCAGACGTGCTGCGTCTTGGCGCACAGCCCCGCTCCGCCGTTCTCCACCCATTGTTGAGTGGCAGTCCGTAGGCGACAACACTTGTTGCCGAAATACGTGTGCTGCGCCAAATGCAGCTCTCGCGTCATCGCTGAAAACGACTATAGCTGTGCAGGTCTTGAGAAATAAGCGAATCAGGTGTTTTACCTCGAAACATTTTCGAGCGTAGGAACAACTCGATCTACTAACAACCTTCTCTATGGAAGTAAGAAAGATTCGAATTTGCTCGGAAAGCTCTATCTAAGTGATGGAGCACGTGGAATTGTAGCAAGTAGCGCTGCTTATATATCTGCGAGTCCGTCATAATACCTGGCTCACAACAAGCTAAAGGCAGTTGGCGCACCGATTAATTGCCCAAGACGCTAGGATCAATACTCCTGGCCCAGGACAGAATTCGCGCAACCCTGGAGCAGGCGCTGCCATAGCAGTTTCTCCAGAGAGGGTGCCCTTATAAGGGCCTATCAAGCCACAACTTACGTCCCAAACGCCCGCCACGCCCGCCCGCCCACAAATGGACGCTCGTATTCATTCATTTGCTAAGCAAATTATGAAGCGAAGGGATTGGTATGAAGCGGCCGTGATGCTGCATGCATATATGGGTACAGCAGCCGTATCTTCGGTAGCGGTGATTGGTAAGATGCCTACGGGAAACTCGTCCGAAATCGATTTTCAAGTCACTGAGAACGGCAGGATTTTGACCGTTTCACTCCGTTCTTTCGCCATTTCCCCACTATACAGCGCCCTACTAGCATTTTAGGCTAAGTAGGAAACCATCGTGCCAACTGCCTTTAAGTCCTATAATCCCTGCGAGGTCTCTTGGACTTTTACCAGACCCATGTGGAAAGATGACATTACAGAATTCCACACGAGCTGGCACCTGCCATTCTGTAGGCTAAATAGCAAAGATATTACGATTTTGAAGGATGTTAAAAGAAGGGGGTAGGGTACATGGTGCATCCCAGAAACACTACAACACAACTTTCTGTACCTCTTTCTGCTGGCCTTTTATTTCCCACGAAGACCGATGTTTTCGCTTCCTTAACAGAAAACATCAGCCTTCGTGGGAAATGTGATTTGAACTAGAAAACAGCTGCCGTTTTGGCTGTAACCTACCAGTAACATGAGAGTGCTTGAGTCATGTTGTTGTCAATAGATGATTCTACTTCAGATATGGCGCTGAGATCGATGCTCGTGTCGAGATCATGAGGAATCTGATATTAACGGATTACTGATAATTGAAATCGCTGCTCTATAACACAGAGTTGTGTTTGCTTTTTAGAATACATTACCTACGGGCCGACCACACAAACATCCCCCTTTCGACGCAATTCTCCCCTGATTAGGTGGTGCAAGAGAAAGACCGGTGGTGGGGGAAGGGGGGGGGGGGGGGAACACCCAGCACATTATGAGAACCGAATAAAGATGCTGAAGTCAAGGACTCAGCAGCAACAGAATGCCCAGGGGTGTAAGTTCCCTGAGAAGCAAGCAGACTAGGCCCGTTGAGGAATTCCTGTTCATAGTACTAACACTCAAATGAGATCACAAGAATGCTGAGGTTGTGGGCAAAACAAGTCGGTGCCCCAGGCGGGGAGTTCGAACGCCGCACCTGCACGCTTTTCCTCGGGAGATTCCGAGACACGTTTCCGGTCCGAGCCCACAGTGGAGGGGCGAGTGCCGCTAGTCCATTTACGCCACCAGGGCCGCTCTTTACGCCTCTCAGCTTGACATGGCTTTTATGCGCGTGAGCGCTATCGAGCACATCACCATCTGCGTTTATTTTGGTGAGCCGGTCAGCCGTAATCGGTGGGATATCGGCATGAAACCGCGAGGCCTAAGGCTTTAGATGTTTTGAAGCTGTTTTGTTATGATAACTGCTGTTTAACGCCGCAGTACGCGTTCCGAATGTTATCACAAGAAATGCTGATGTTCGTGGGCAATAAAGTCGGTGCCCAGGCGGGAGATAGGGAAGTCGAGATCCCGCCACCTCACGCTTTCCGTGGCCGAGCTGCGCTTATGCCATTACGCCGACCAGGCCGGGGCCCTTTACTCCTCTCAGCTTGACGGCTTTTATGCCGTAGCCTATCAGCACTCACACGTTTATTTTGGTGAGCCGGTCAGCCGTAATCGGTGGGATATCGGCATGAAACCGCGAGGCCTAAGGCTTTAGATGTTTTTGAAGCTGTTAGTGTGTTAGTGATAGACTGCTGTTTAACGCCGCAGTACGCGTTCCGAATGTTATCACAAGAATGCTGAGTTGTGGGCAAAAGTCGTGCCCCAGGCGGGGAAGTCGAACCCGCACCTCACGCTTTCCGGGCGAGTGCGCTATCCGTTACGCCACCAGGGCCGCTTTTACCCTCTCAGCTTGACGGCTTTTATGCCGTAGCCTATCAGCACTCACACGTTTATTTTGGTGAGCCTGGGTGCAGCCGGTAATTCGGTGGGATAGTCGTGCCCATGAACACCGCGAGCCTAAGGGCTTTAGATGTTTTTGAAGCGTTTTTGTTATGATAACTGCTGTTTAACGCCGCAGTACGCGTTCCGAATGTTATCACAAGAATGCTGAGTTGTGGGCAAAAGTCGTGCCCCAGGCGGGAGTCGAACCCGCACCTCACGCTTTCCGGGCGAGTGTGCGCTATCCGTATGCCATTACGCCACACGCAGGGCCGCTTTTAACCCTCTCAGCTTGGACGGCTTTATATGCCGTAGCCTATCAGCACTCACAGTTATGTTTGCGGTGGAGCCGGTCAGCCGTAATCGGTGGGATATCGGCATGAAACCGCGAGGCCTAAGGCTTTAGATGTTTTTGAAGCTGTTTTGTTATGATAACTGCTGTTTAACGCCGCAGTACGCGTTCCGAATGTTATCACAAGAATGCTGAGTTGTGGGCAAAAGTCGTGCCCCAGGCGGGAGTCGAACCCGCACCTCACGCTTTCCGGGCTAGCGGAGTGCGCTGCTGCATTTTACGCCACCAGGGCCGCTTTTACCCTCTCAGCTTGACGGCTTTTATGCCGTAGCCTATCAGCACTCACACGTTTATTTTGGTGAGCCGGTCAGCCGTAATCGGTGGGATATCGGCATGAAACCGCGAGGCCTAAGGCTTTAGATGTTTTTGAAGCTGTTTTGTTATGATAACTGCTGTTTAACGCCGCAGTACGCGTTCCGAATGTTATCACAAGAATGCTGAGTTGTGGGCAAAAGTCGTGCCCCAGGCGGGAGTCGAACCCGCACCTCACGCTTTCCGGGCGAGTGCGCTATTACGCCACCAGGGCCGCTTTTACCCTCTCAGCTTAACGGCTTTTATGCCGTAGCCTATCAGCACTCACAGCACGTTGGTGATTTTGGGTGAGGCCGGTCAGCGGCGTAGTATCGGTGGGCGGGGGATATCGGCATGAAACCGCGAGGCCTAAGGCTTTAGATGTTTTTGAAGCTGTTTTGTTATGATAACTGCTGTTTAACGCCGCAGTACGCGTTCCGAATGTTATCACAAGAATGCTGAGTTGTGGGCAAAAGTCGTGCCCCAGGCGGGAGTCGAACCCGCACCTCACGCTTTCCGGGCGAGTGCGCTATCCGTTACGCCACCAGGGCCGCTTTTTACCCTCTCAGCTTGACGGCTTTTATGCCGTAGCCTATCAGCACTCACACGTTTATTTTGGTGAGCCGGTCAGCCGTAATCGGTGGGATATCGGCATGAAACCGCGAGGCCTAAGGCTTTAGATGTTTTTGAGAGGCCTGTTTTGTTATGAATACATGCTGTTTTAATCGCCGCATACGCGTCCGAATGTTATCACAAGTAATGGCGGAGTTGGGGCAAAAAGTGACGGGCGGGCGTGCCCCAGGCGGTGAGGTGCGAACCCGCACCTTGCACGGCTTTCCGTCCGGAGTGCGCGTATCCGGTTACGCCGACCAGTGGCCGTGGCTGGTGTACGCTTAGCAGGCTCTGAGGTTTATATGGGCCGTAGCCTATCAGCACTCACACGTTTATTTTGGTGAGCCGGTCAGCCGTAATCGGTGGGATATCGGCATGAAACCGCGAGGCCTAAGGCTTTAGATGTTTTTGAAGCTGTTTTGTTATGATAACTGCTGTTTAACGCGCAGTACGTCGTAGCTCGAATGTTATCCACAGAGAATGGATGAGTTGTGGGCAAAAGTCCGGGTGCCCGGAGGCGGGAGTCAGGAACGCCGCACCATCGACGAGCAGTTTCCGGCGAGTGCGCGTATCCACTTTACGCCACCAGCGGCCGCTGTGTTACCCTCTCAGCGTTGGACGGCGCTTTTATGCTCGTAAGCCTATTCAGCCACTCACACGTCTGTTTTGGCGGTGAGCCGCGTTCAGCCGTAAATCGGTTGAGATGATCGCATGAGAAGCCGGCGGAAGGCTAAGGCTTTGAGGGATGGTTTGTTGAAGCTGTTTTGTATGATAACTGCTGTTTAACGCCGCAGTACGCGTTCCGAATGTTATCACAAGAATGCTGAGTTGTGGGCAAAAGTCGTGCCCCAGGCGGGAGTCGAACCCGCACCTCACGCTTTCCGGGCGAGTGCGCTATCCGTTACGCCACCAGGGCCGCTTTTACCCTCTCAGCTTGACGGCTTTTATGCCGTAGCCTATCAGCACTCACACGTTTATTTTGGTGAGCCGGTCAGCCGTAATCGATGGGATATCGGCATGAAACCGCGAGGCCTAAGGCTTTAGATGTTTTTGAAGCTGTTTTGTTATGATAACTGCTGTTTAACGCCGCAGTACGCGTTCCGAATGTTATCACAAGAATGCTGAGTTGTGGGCAAAAGTCGTGCCCCAGGCGGGAGTCGAACCCCCGCACCTCACGCTTTCCGGGCGAGTGCGCTATCCGTTACGCCACCAGGGCCGCTTTTACCCTCTCAGCTTGACGGCTTTTATGCCGTAGCCTATCAGCACTCACACGTTTATTTTGGTGAGCCGGTCAGCCGTAATCGGTGGGATATCGGCATGAAACCGCGAGGCCTAAGGCTTTAGATGTTTTTGCAAGTGTTTGAGTGTTATGATAACTGGCTGGTTAACGCCGCGAGTACGCGTTGCGCGGAATGGTTTATCACAAGAATGCTGAGTTGTGGGCAAAAGTCGTGCCCAGGGCGGGAGTCGAACCCGCACCTCACGCTTTCCGGGCGAGTGCGCTATCCGTTACGCCACCAGGGCCGCTTTTACCCTCTCAGCTTGGACGTGAGTTTTGATGCCGTGAGCCTCGTCAGCACTCACACGTTTATTTGTGCGTGCAGCCGGTCAGCCGTTAATCGGACTGGGGCATAGTCGCATGAAAAACGCCGCGAGGCACTAAGGCTGTTAGATGTATTTTTGAGAAGCTGGTTTTGTTATGATAACTGCTGTTGAACGCCGCAGTACGCACGGTTCGCTGGAATGCTTATGCACCAGGAAGTGGCTGAGTTGGTGGGCAAAAGTCGCTTGCCCCAGGCGGCAGTCGAAACCCGCACCTCCCCACGCTTTCGCCGGGCGAGGTGCGACTATCATTACGCCACCAGGGCCGCGTGTTTAGCCCTAGCTCAGCTTGTCGACGCGCTTTTCTATGCCGGTAGCCTAATCGGGCACTCACACGGTTTATATGTCTTGGTGAGGCCGGTCAGCCGTATCGTGGGATAAGATCGGCATTGAGAACGCGCGGAGGCTCCTAAGGGCTTTTAGGATGTTTTGTGAGGGCTGTTTGTTATGATAATCTGGCCTGTTTTAACGCCGCCAGCAGTACGCGTTCCGAATGTTATCACAAGAATGCTGAGTTGTGGGCAAAAGTCGTGCCCCAGGCGGGAGTCGAACCCGCACCTCACGCTTTCCGGGCGAGTGCGCTATCCATTACGCCACCAGGGCCGCTTTTACCCTCTCTTCTGACGACTTTTGCCCACAACTCAGCATTCTTGTGATAACATTCGGAACGCGTACTGCGGCGTTAAACAGCAGTTATCATAACAAAACAGCTTCAAAAACATCTAAAGCCTTAGGCCTCGCGGTTTCATGCCGATATCCCACCGATTACGGCTGACCGGCTCACCAAAATAAACGTGTGAGTGCTGATAGGCTACGGCATAAAAGCCGTCAAGCTGAGAGGGTAAAAGCGGCCCTGGTGGCGTAACGGATAGCGCACTCGCCCGGAAAGCG